ACCTCTTTTGCTACTTTTCGGATACAACTAGCCATGGAATCCCACATTTGGCTAGCTTCCCCCTCTCTATCCCACACACATTGGGTGATTACCTTCTCTTTGAAAATGGCTTGTTTTTCTTCTTTTAGATTCCACCATCTAGTCCTTGGGCACTTCCAAGTCTTGTTCTTTTTGTCTCACTCTTTTGATATGTACATCCATCACCAACAAGCGATGTTGATTAGCCACGCTCTCTCCTGGTATAACTTTGCAATCCTTACAAGTTATACGATCCCCTTTCCTCATTAGAAGAAAATCTATTTGTGTTTTTGACGACCCACTCTTGTAGGTGATCACATGTTCTTCTCTCTTCTTAAAGAAGGTGTTGGCTAAGAAGAGATCATATGCCATTGCAAAATCCAAGATAGCTTCCCCATCCTCGTTTCTCTCCCCAAAACCATGGCCACCATGAAAACCTTCATAGTTGCCTGTCTCCCTGCCCACGTGTCCATTTAAATCTCCTCCTATAAATAACTTCTCCGTCTGAGCAATTCATTGCACCAAGTCTCCAAGGTCTTCCCAAAATTTCTCATTCGAACTCGTACCCAACCCTACTTGAGGTGCGTACGCACTAATCACATTGATAAGTTCTTGTCCTATTACAATCTTGATTGCTATGATTCTATCTCCTACCCTCTTGACATCTACAACATCTTGTGTCAAGGCCTTGTCCACGATGATGCCAACACCGTTTCTCGTTCTATTTGTGCCCGAATACCAAAGTTTAAACCCTGAGTTTTCTAGATCCTTTGCCTTACTACCAACCCACTTAGTTTATTGTAGGCACATAATATTTATCCTTCTCCTCACCATAACTTCCACTACTTCCATAGATTTTCCCGTTAAGGTTCCTATATTCCACGTTCCTAAACGCATTTTGCTCTCTTGAACTCTACCCTTCTGTCCTAGCTTCTTCACCCTCCCCCGTCTAATAGGATCAAAATACTTCTTTTGTGTGTCCCGTGTAAAGTTGATAGGAGCATATGCTCCCAAACAACTTTGAGTGGAGTCGTTCGAAAAGAAGTTTCTACGGCCCCCTTGCTCATTTAACACTGCATTCGGGTGCCGATGGAGATACAGCGACCCTTGCTCACTTATCACTGTGCTCGGGCCACACAGCGCGCCACTTACGGGTGACGCCCTAGCTTTAGCGCGATTTTGTTCTGGATTCATTTTCATAAGGATTCGACGTGATCATGGAGTGCCGGCTGTCGACTACCTGACGCCCTCCCCCTCCTCCTTTATCCGTGTTAAAAAAAAAAAAGTTGCAAAAAAATATTTAATTTTGATTAGTTCATCAACAATTGAGTATTGGATTCTGATCATTTTAGCTACTTCTCTTCTTTTATTCCGTTGAAAATATATTGTCACTGAAATTTGGTTAAATTTTGTGATGATGACGATGACATGGTGCGTTCTTTGGGCAGTGTTTGATTTCGCAGTAGGAGAACAGGACTTAGTTTTGGTAACAAAGCAGAATTTCCACAAATGCAACACTAAAGATCCCTTATTTCTAAGGAAGGATCCAGTTAAAATCAAATTTGGTGGAAGTGGTATATATTATTTCACCTCCAGCTTGCCCAGCCATTGCAAGAAAGGGCAAAAGGTAACGGTTCGTGTCCGTGACTCTTCAACCATGTCGTCCACCTCTTCAACTAGTCCAAGTCCAAGTGTTACAGAAGCTCCTCAGGCCCTGCCGCTCGAATTTCTGCCTGTCTAAATTAGATGGGGAAAAGAAATTAAATTGTCTGTAACAATAGAGTCCTTGTATGTCCTTGTTAGCCAAGCAAGTATATTTCCTAATTTGCTTTTTGTACCAATTTTATATTATAATTATGGTTACGCCCAACTCTTGGTGATTTTTCTTGGGTTCTATGCAATGCACACAAAACTCTTTATTTTTCTTGCTCCTCTTTCAAATTTCCACCAAACCAAACACAAATATTCTCCATAAAGCAGGGAAGTATTAAGGAGAACTATCAATATCGTTAAACCCAACTTTTTTTTGCCTAAAACTACCCTTACAAATCTAATTTAATTTGTAAATTTATCTTCTTACCCATTTAAGCCAAATACATGGCAGTTGGCAATCCGTCACGCTAGTTAGTTAAGGTGCTTGGTTGATGGGAAAGTGAGAGGAAAACTGTTGATCCTAAAAACTACCAAGCCTATGTGGCGCGCAGACCAAGTAATTAGTAAGTTAACTACGTCCTTCGGTTGTATGCGGGGCATGCCAACTCGTCGGCCGAGCTCGGCCGATGAGTAAAATTTGTTGATATTGCGTTGGGTACGCTACTGACTTCTGAATCTCGCGACAGCGGCCGAGGAAGGAACTTGTCTCGGCCTTCGGGTTCTAGAGCCTGAAGACAAGGCTGCTAACTTAGCGAAGTTCAATATCAAATTCGGCTTTCAACGTGCCGAATGTAGTAACTTGTAACACCTCACTTTGCCGAAAAGGCTAATGAGATGACCTCGACCAATAAGGATTCGGAAATCCTTTTCGACCGAGACTTGGATAGATAACCAACTGTCATCGCCGCAATACTATTGATGCCAACGGAAGATGCTGTGAGATCGGCTGATTCTATGGTGACAGAGCTATCTATGCCGACTGAAGATATCACCGGTTGCTTTCACAGTGATGTTGATGCCAACGGAAGATGTGTCAGCGAAAAGAGAAAATAAAAAATCTCAAAGTTGTTGAGAGAGTTTGCGCAAGGCAGTTGTGTGTTGAATTGGAGGTGGTCCTAACTGTTGTCTGCGACTCTGTATTTATAAGTATCATCCTCATCCTGACGGCTCGCATTGTAAAGCTGCCGCCAACATCAAAGTCCTCCTTCATAACAATCTCATGCAAAATAAAAGATTGTTATCACTTACTAACACGAAATCACCTCGTGCTAATTAATAGCATATTAGCATATACCAATTAGTGCTGATAAGCATCTTGACTTGAAATAATGATATGCATGCATGGCTCCACCAAATCCACTCACACGTGGCTATCCATCTCCAATTTAACATCTTCATCTTCATGCAAGCATTAATATCTCTATCATTGTCCATTTGCCAACAATGCAGTAGTGTATTAGGACTCTTAATAACGTGCTCTGATGCTCCCAATCCACCACGCGTCTTAACTCCAAGAATCCCAAATCAAATTGAACTACATTTGCATCTCATCTATCTTGTACAAGAAAATATCAAGATAATTCATCATTAAAAAATAATTATTATGATAAAAAATCATAATATTTTCCTTTAACAAAAATATCTTCACTTTTCCATCCGACGGTCGAGAATTATGTTTACTCAACGGCCTTGATTACACGGGCCGATGGTGTAAATTTGGGTCCAATCAAAAACATAGAGAGAACTCAGAGAAGGATGAGTAATTGGCAATCCATCGTGCTGGTTAAGGTGCTTGGTTGATGGGAAAGTGAGAGGAAAATATAGAGAGAAGGATGAGTGCAGTTGGATGAGCGGGAAGAAAGGGGTGACGGCAGAGACGGAAGCTGCCATACAGTCGATAGGGTTGGGATACGATTTTGACGATGTACTTGAAGCCCAAGTACTGTAAGAGACAGCAGCAGCAGTCAAGAATAAACAGTCGGTATATATATGCAATGATCACCATCACTCACCTTCGAACCCAGGAACCAAATGGAATCAGGCTTCCGCACTAACCCACGAGGCTAGGAAGAAGGCCTGTAACGGGTTGGGACAAAAGTGCACATATTTGAGGGACCTAGTTTTCAAAGAGGGAAGAAGCTCTTGTTGTTACTTGCTTCTCCTGATGCAGCTCCTCGTGAAGTTTGATGGAGTTCTAGTGGAGTTTCATAGACTTTATACACTATCAAATCCTTCTAAATCCATCAAAATCCTTAATTTTTTAAAATACTTTAAAATCAATTCTACACATGGAGTTTTGTGGGCTACTTTAAAATTTTGATTAAATACATCAAGATGAACTTTAAAATTTTGATTTACCCATGAACTTCCGTGAAATTATTTAAAATATTGATTGAATACCCTTGAATTAGTAAAATCTTTTAAAATCTTTTAAACTCCTAACTAGATACAAAAAGGCAAGAAACTGAAAATGAACGTAATTAACATTTTACAAATTGAATTTAGTTGTTTTGTTATCCAATGCTTAAAAAAAAATTAAACTCATGATGTTCGTCACATGTATTAGTCTCAAGTACATCATCAAGAAAGTCAGTTCTTTGTTTAAGAACTAATGCACAAACTTTCTACTTCATCAGGAAAGAATGATTGATCCTGCGACCATAAGGAAACCGAAATACCTCTAAACTTGAAAAGATAACCAAAATCTTACGGTCTTACCTCTTTAAAGAATGAAATAATGATTGGTCCTTGACGCTTTTAAATAGTTATGGCAGGTACATAGCCGGATGCGTAACATTACATATTGTTAAAAGTATAAATGTCACACCGAAAAGAGAACTCTTTTGAAATTGAAACTTTTGTTGTATTGTATTGCATTATCATTATAGCATCCGAGACAAGAATCCAACCAGAAATTTAAGGGTTAAGTAATGCTATATAAAACCAAAACTTATATCACATTGCTGTTACAATTACTTGTAACCGTTCGTTTTTAGGGTTACAAGGCCTGCAGGTTTGTCATATAATAATTAAAATGAAAAAAAAAAAGAGCCTATTAAAATCATACTGTTTGTGTTTAGGAATTATCATCCAAAAATTCTTTTACATAATCAACACATATAGTTAACATCGACCTATCATTACATGAATAATTTATCAATTAATAATCTAGCCGCTCCACACACAGCTAGCAATTGCCGGATGTCACAGCTTATTTATACAATTGATGAAACAACTTACAATATTTGGCTGGTGTATTTCACCCGCATCCTAAAATTCAAGAACTCTCAGCTCTATAAATTCAGACACCATTAAGTTGCTGTAAAGTCAAGACCAATACACAAGGACAACAATATTATAGAAAAGATGGCTAGAACCATGAACATGAACAATGTGATGGTCCTTGCTATAGCAATCATAGCAATATCCGTAGTGCTACCTACAACAGAAGCTGCATTGTATACCGTCGGCGACGAGTTGGGTTGGGCTATTCCTCCCGAAGCTGGCTATTATGCTGCCTGGGCTTCCAAGCATAGCTTCTTCGTTAACGATATTCTAGGTGAACTAGTTAATTACCTCTTGGATTTTATACTTCTTAATTTCTTTTTCTTTCTTTTGAATTAATTTGGATGATCTAGCTGCATGGATCATGATGATCACAGAATTATATTATTGTTTTCTTATAAATAAATTAAAGATTAGACAATATTAGCTTCTTGAGATAAAACAATATAGAATTAGACTAATTATACATATTGTTGTTTGTACGTGCAGTATTTAACTTCACTGAAGGAGAAGAAGACTTGGCTATGGTAACCAAGGAAGATTTTGATGCGTGTAACACCTCGAATCCCTTGTTTTATTTCGATGAACCACCAACGCTTAAATTTCTCGCAAGTGACACGTTTTATTTCACGAGCACCTTTGACGGGCACTGCCCCAGAGGGCAAAAGGTAGCTATTTACATCGCTCCGTCTTCAGCCACTCCCCCATGCCCAAGTCCAACTGCTGCTGTTCAGGCTCATGCGACAATCCCCATCAAATTTGTGTCTATGAAGGTCAAGCAAGGCAAAAGATCATGATTTCAATAACCATCCATGAGGTCTTGAAGAGTCATTAACTGTGTACTTGGCTCGTATCGGCTACGATCGAGAACCCCTAATAAAGTTATGATTATGTTTATGTACCCACTCTTTGATAATTTTTCACATGGATAATAAATTTTAGTTTATGCAACGTAGCCACTACTAATATTTGGCTCAAAGAATTCTAGTTTAATTTCTTCCTCTCTTGCATTTGCAGTTTTTACGATAGCAAAAGGAATTCATCAACAAATTAGACGATCAAATTTTAGATCACAGAAGTGTGTCACAAATTATGTGGCAAGGGTGTGAAGTCTACTTATTGCATAACGCTAATACTGTTTTTTTTTTAACCACTAAATAACTATTATTTAATCCAACACTTATATGGTTTCGGATTTTGGTGATTTTTTTTGTAAATATGATATACCTAAAAGATAGACGGTTCTATTCCTGAAAAAAAAAAAAAAAAAAAAAAAACATTGTGGAGTTGGATCTACAAGGGATCTCTCAAATAAGCTTATTTTTATAAGGACACCTTGTACGACCCATTCCATAATGTTTTCAACAATCCAAATGCCTATCTTTTAATACACTATTCATTAATCATTCTTGCAAAAATCTACATAAATCCAAAGTTGTGTAGACATCCCACAATAATTTATAGTGACGATTCCGATGCCAAAGCCCAAATCTACAATCCTTGGACCTTGACATTGTCTTTATGCTTCTCGACCTACTCTTCCATCCGCTTAGACATCCGTTCCACATCATGTTTAAATTAAAATTATTTAGTTTTATATTTTATGTCATTGTTTTTCTAGTGTCTGAAATATAATTATAAGAGATTTTGCACCAAAAATATATTTTGTAGAATATATAATTTGGTGTTATGGGAAGGTGGGATCGCTGCTGATCGATATCGTTTCACGAATCCTAGGATGCTATAGTAAAAGTCGGTAGCGTGCTATTGATCTTTAGTTGGAGAAATTTTTTATTATGATTTAAACACGAATAGTACATCACGTGTTTTTATATAAGTAATGAAAAATTTATTTTTTAAATTATTAACTTTTCAGCACATATATTCCACCATTTGTATAATGACACGTGGTGTACCACCTCGTGTACCGATCACACTGAAAAGTCTCTCCTTCAGTTGAAGCTGTCACACCCTAAATTGATTTAAGGCGTGATTTAAAGGATAAATTAAATTTAACTAATAACAGGTGCCAGTATTGAACGGAACACTTCATTAAACAAAATATAATTTACATAGTTCATTACAACAAAACTCCAAAACTATCTACAAGAAACTTTCTTTTTTTAAGTCAGACACAAGATTCTGTCTCAGCTCCTGTAACAAAATTATTAAGGGGTGACCTAAAAATTCAATAGGGCCAAAGTCCTATGTGATTAATATTTATATATAATATTTTATGGGGTAAATCGTCAAAATTGTCCATGAGATTTGCATAACTCATCATTTTAGTCTCTGAGATTTCAAATCGATAAAAGTGGTCCCTGAAATTGTCCACCATCCATCATTTTGTTCATTCCGTTAAAAACTCCGTTAAGTATCCTGGAGCTCTTAGTCGGAAGTTTGGGCAATTTTCAAAGTTTCGTACTCAATCGTTTCTTAACCAAATTTGACCCATAATATATCAAAATGAAGATAGTAAAGTGTAGAATAAGATTATACCATTTCAAATCCCAATGGTTGTCGGAGATGGCCGAAAAATAGCCTCAAAGTTGACTAGTCCGAGTAAAAACTTGAAAACTCGCCAAAAACTGGGTAAACTTTAAATGTTCATAACTTCTTCAATACTCAATGCAATCAAGTGATTCAAAAACGAAAATCATACTTCTCGACTAGACGAAGAGAATGGTACCTTTTTTTATGGCTAACTCACTGTGGTTTGGCCAGAAAACGGCTCGAAAGTGGCTAACTCGAGACCAAGACAGCCACTTTCGAGCTGTTTTCCGGCCAAACCACGGTGAGTTAGCTGTTAAAAAAGGTACCATTCCATTTTTCTCGTCGAGAAGTATGACTTTCGTTTTTGAATAACTTGATTTCGTTGAGTATTGAAGAAGTTATGAACATTTAAAGTTTACCCAGTTTCCGGCGAGTTTTCAAGTTTTCACTCAGACCAACCAACTTTGAGGCTATTTTCCGGCAATCTCCGGCAACCATTGGGCTTTTAAATAGATATAATATTATTCTAAACTTTCCTATCTTCATTTTGATATATTATGGGTCGAATTTGGTTAAGAAACAATTGAGTTACGAAGCTTTGAAAATTGCCCAAACTTCCGACCAAGAGCTCAGGGACACTTAACGGAAGGACCAAAATGATGGATGTTGGACAATCTCAGGGACCACTTTTATTGATTTGGAATCTCAGAGGCCAAAGTGATAAGTTATGCAAATCTCAATGACTATTTTGGCGATTTACCCTATTTTATGAGTAGTATATAATGCAAGAATGTACTTTAATTCTACCTAACATGTTATCTATATATTAAAACAAACAAACATGCATGTCTCATACCATGCATTTTACCATTGTAGTCTTAAATTTTTTTAGTATATAATATAACCTCTACAAAATCTCCAAATTCATAAACATCTTTGCTCTTCATCTTATCCAATTCATTGATCTCTGGCCCAGATCATCCAAATCGACAATTTTATCAGCTGATATCATATTCTAATGTACACACCAGACTCGCCTGGAACTGATTTCATAAATTCAACTATACAAAAACTAATTTTCACATTTTTCTATAACCCAAATATATATAGCCCCTTTACTTCGTTGACAAATGATAATAATCATGCTAACATAAAATTTAACACGTGTAAGATATCACATTTAAGCTAGCAGCTCAGGGTTGTAGTGTCATTCCGTCTATGGTTAGTGAAGAACGTGTTGACTTGTATTAGGATTCCCATAATTGTGGGATTCTTACCATATTAGGTCTCCTAGTATGGGATGTAATTATTCTTTTTATTCTTTCCCATATTTGTATAGGGTTGTATATATACCTTTGTTTGAGATGAAATAAACCTATCATTGAAAAGCATTCTTTCTTCTTGGCACCAGAGCCGGGATTAGAAAACACCGAACCCTAATTATTTTTTTCTGCTGTGTCCCTGATCAATTGCAGCGAGCAACGTAGAGTTGTTGCTGCCCGTTTTCTGATTGATTGCAGCGAGCAACTGAGCAGTTGTTGCTGCCCCTTCAGTTCGTCCGTGTTGTCCCAAAGTTGCTGCAGTTTTTTTTCCTGCCCGTTTGTATTAGTCAACACCAAGTTCCAAAGTTCCATCCACGTTGCAGGTAAGCGAGATGGCTGAAGAAAAGGGGTTCCATCCACGTTGCAGGTAAGCGAGATGGCTGAAGAAAAGGGGAATGATTCTCGGATTATTTGTGCGGCTGCTCCAATTATGGTGCAGTCAGAGAATTCAAGCTTTAATATTGGTATGTTTTTGGATGAAAAGAACTATGATTTATGGGCTCCTCTCATTCAAATCCATATTGCTGGAAGGAAGAAGATGGGATATCTTCGTGGGTCTATCAAGGCACCTAACGAAGACGATCCTAAATATGATGATTGGTTCTCTGAAGATCAAAAAATAAAGAGTTGGCTTTTGTCTTCAATGAAGCCTGAGATTATGAAACGGTACATTCGGTTGTCTACATCGAAGGAAATTTGGGACTCTCTTAAGGCAGCCTACTTTGATGAGAATGATAAAGCTAGAATTTATTCATTGAATCAGAAGGCATCACGTCTTCGTCAAAATGGCCGACCTTTGGCTACCTATTTCGGGGAGCTAACTGAGATTTTCCAAGAATTGGATCACTTTAATAAAGTATCCATGGAGTGTGAAAACGACATCAAAGTGTTTCAGAAATCCACTGAGAGACAACGAGTCTATGTGTTTCTTGGTGGTCTCGATGATAGGTTTGATCAGGTGCGTGGAAAAATGCTGTGGAAAGATCCCCCACTCGGATTGCAGGCCTCTTATGCATATGTCCGTCGCGAAGCTGACCGAAAGGAAGCAATGAAGACAGAGGTTGACAGGAGTGAACCCGCTGCCATGGCAGTGAAGGCCCGTGGATCATCTTTTGGGTCGAACCGAGAAGGGTCACAAAGCTGGTCGGGACAAACTCGGCCTAGCCAGACAAGCCGGGATCGTCCCCAAGGTAAGTGCCCACACTGTGGCATGACAGGACACTCCAAGAGTCGTTGCTTTGAGTTGATTGGATATCCCGAGAATTGGGATAAGACCCGTGATCCTCGGTGCAACAAATCTCGAGCCTCCGTTGCAGAAACTAATAATGATTCGGACCAGATAGCGGACAAGGTATCTGCCATGATTGCTGCGGTAGGTAGTGATGGCAAGGCACTAAGTACCTCTCTGTTATGAATAATACATGGATAATTGATTCCGGAGCTACTGAACATATGACTTGCGATTCTAGACAGGTTCCCTCACTAAAAACATCCACACAAACCGAGGTCAATGTTAATAATGGTAATGTCGTCCCTGTTATTGGGGAAGACACTGTTTCCCTTTCCGATACCATGAAACTTGACACTGTTCTTGTGGTTCCCTCTCTAAATTATAATTTGTTGTCCGTTGCTCAAATAACCCTTGCCTTACATTGTTTGGTTATTTTTTGGCCCTTTTGTGTTTTTAAGGACATCCGGACGCGGAAGACGATTGGTTATGGTATTAGAAGAGGGAAACTTTACTACTTGGAGTTGGCCACCAGTAGTTCTAGCCTGCTAACTCAAGCTCTTTCCGTTGATGATTCTCAAGGGGGTACTAATAAAGTGCCAGATATCTAGATGTGGCACCGGCGCCTTGGGCATGTTTCCTTTGGTTATCTGCATAAATTATTTCCTAGTTTGTTTGTCAAGAATGATGTTTCTCAGTTTAAGTGTGATGTTTGTGAAATGGCTAAGAGCCATCGAACCTCCTTTCCTCCCAGTTTCAATAAAAGTACTGTTCCTTTTATGATTGTGCATTCTGATGTATGGGGACCGTCGAAAATAGCTACTCTTGGTGGTGCTTACTGGTTTGTTACTTTTATTGACGATTGTACCAGAATGACTTGGGTTATTTTGTTAAAGTCGAAAAGTGAAGTTAGTTCGGCCTTTCAACGGTTCCATAAAA